TTATTTTTCATCATAATTATTAAAATAAAATATTTATTTTATTTTATTAACAATGTTAATAATTTTTAGTGGCAATGATATATAACAATACAAATTGTATTACCCCCAAAAATTAAATTAATTATAACATTTTTTTTACAATCATAATAGTTATTTTTATAATATGAACTCTCTGATTTTAATTTTTATTATATGTTAATTTTAGAATAATTTATGTGGTATTGTATTCACATTCATACCTTATATTTAGGACTTAGAATAAGTTAGACCCTAATATAGATTTATGATTTTGTTTGTTTAAAGTCTATCCTAATCTATTTAATTAAAATGTTATATCTAAGTTTTTTAAAAAGTCTATTTATTCAAAAAGACCATGCTTGATCTTATAAAAAAGCATATTAGGTCAAACTAGGCCAACCTCTATTATTTGTATAATACAATAAAAAAAATGAAATATATGAAAATGAAGCCAAAGTACTAATGCAAGTCATATCACACAACTTGGGTGTGAGTTTACCATGACCTTATTATCATGCATAACTGAACCTCATATAGAATTAGTCTACCAACTATCCTCCAAATACTACACACTTTTCTAGTTATCATTTAAGGATTTTATCAGTGGACTTCATACCTTAATTGATTTGGCCACTTATAACATGTATGGCTTGACCTAGTTCTTATACAATTCCACTCAAAAGTTAGAGGAGACAACATGAAAACAACTTTCCATTTAGGAAGCAACTTATTGAAGAATTTTCATTTTTAGGATCTCAAAATACCACAACTTATATTCACACAATAATATATTTTAATTTCTAAAACAACTCTACTCTCCTATAATTTTAATGTATCTCAACTTAGATATGCATCACATGTTTATACAACTTATCATCATTCAATTTTATTTTATACAACTTCAACATGAAACAACTTTCAACTTAAGATTATAAACAACTTTCAAATTTAACAAATTAATCAACAGAAGTTTTAACTTAATCAACTTCCAACAATAGACAACTTTCAAGTTAAACAACTTAAATCATCATCTATATCAATATATAATGAACTAAATTTAATCTTTATCATACATCATTTAAACAACTAACTCAAAAGAATATTGATTATTATTTTTTTGTTGAAATATCGTTAAACTATTTTATTTTTTAATTTTTAAAAATATTTAATTATAGTAATTATATTTTTATGAAATATGTAGTTATTTTTTAATTTTTAAAATATTTAATTATAGTAATTATATTTTTATGAAATATGTAGTTATTTTTTAATTTTTAAAATATTTAATTATAGTAATTATATTTTTATGAAATATGTAGTTATTTTTTAATTTTTAAAATATTTAATTATAGTAATTATATTTTTATGAAATATGTAGTTATTTTTTAATTTTTAAAATATTTAATTATAGTAATTATATTTTTATGAAATATGTAGTTATTTTTTAATTTTTAAAATATTTAATTATAGTAATTATATTTTTATGAAATATGTAGTTATTTTTTAATTTTTAAAATATTTAATTATAGTAATTATATTTTTATGAAATATGTAGTTATTTTTTAATTTTTAAAATATTTAATTATAGTAATTATATTTTTATGAAATATGTAGTTATTTTTTAATTTTTAAAATATTTAATTATAGTAATTATATTTTTATGAAATATGTAGTTATTTTTTAATTTTTAAAATATTTAATTATAGTAATTATATTTTTATGAAATATGTAGTTATTTTTTAATTTTTAAAATATTTAATTATAGTAATTATATTTTTATGAAATATGTAGTTATTTTTTAATTTTTAAAATATTTAATTATAGTAATTATATTTTTATGAAATATGTAGTTATTTTTTAATTTTTAAAATATTTAATTATAGTAATTATATTTTTATGAAATATGTAGTTATTTTTTAATTTTTAAAATATTTAATTATAGTAATTATATTTTTATGAAATATGTAGTTATTTTTTAATTTTTAAAATATTTAATTATAGTAATTATATTTTTATGAAATATGTAGTTATTTTTTAATTTTTAAAATATTTAATTATAGTAATTATATTTTTATGAAATATGTAGTTATTTTTTAATTTTTAAAATATTTAATTATAGTAATTATATTTTTATGAAATATGTAGTTATGATAATCAATCATGATTTCAACATTCCAATTAGCAATCCAATCGTATTTTTGTTAATTCTTTAAAAAATATAATTGTAACCAATTAATTAATTATATTTCTATGAAATTTTTAATTATGGTAATCAATCATGTTTGAACATTCTTATTAGTAATACAATCGTACATTTCCATTCAAATAAATTGATAACACTAATATACATATTTATTCCAACTTTTAACAAATTTAATTTAAATAATGAAATCTTGAAAGATTTATTTTAGGTAAATAAATCTCTAAATTTAGTTTTTTCTAAAATATAAATAATAGATAATTTTATTTTTAATTCATATAATTACTTAATTATCTAGAACATATAATAAATGGATCGTCTCATTTGATGTACACATCTTTTAGATGATTTTATCATTAAATTTTAAAATAATAAAAAATAATATTAAAAATTAATCATTCTTATAAAGATAAGACTCAAACTCAAGACTTTTAAGTTTAAAAATCAAATGTAACACCAATTAATATACTAAACATTGATAACTTTTAAACACTTTTATTAGATAAAATATAGAAACACAAAATGTCTCGATTTCATTAATATTAATTAAGGTGATTGTAGTGGATATAATTTTAATAATTTCAACATTAAAATTGATAACACAAATTTATTATGATTCAAATTAATTAATAATACAAATATATATTTATTCAAATTTACAGCATAATCCAATAATCAAATTAAAGAATCTCACATAATTTGATTTTAATAATACAAAAGATAATTTGATCTAGTCAATTATAAATATGTGTGTATACATTATTGTTTTTCATTTCATCGTTATAAAATATTTGATTGCTAAAATTTGTTTTTATTATTTGCATTTATTTTTAATGAAGGCATGAATAAAAACAATACAGATAAATGCGTCTTTTTATTCTTTCTCTGAGGTAAGGTTATATCATTTTCAATTTCATTTGAATGTTTTTACATTTTGTATCTCATATTAATTAATATTTTTGCAACATTCGTTTACAGTTCCACTCCATGTTCATCTTCTTATCTTCCTCTTTATATGTGTATATTTATTCTATATTTTTTTTTTATTCTTATTCTTTGAATATAATATGTTTATTCATTACTAATGTCTTATTCTTTCATTATTCAATTTGAAATCCTACATTTTTTTCATTGTTGAAGCTTTCTTATGCAATCATTTCTTATGGAATATGCATTTTAGAGGTGTTTAACTAATTAAGTATATTCATATTTTACCTATTTGACATTTTGCTTCAGCTATATTGCTTAAGTTGTATAATAGTTTTGAATGTTTTGCAATCTCACAGGGAAGTAAGTTGAGGATACCAATCTTTCTTTATTTTCATATGTTTAATAAATGAGGCTTCGAATTTTCATGTTGTTTAGATTATAAGCACAATTTATAACATACAATAATGAGATTGTTCAATTTGATGTATATATTTTTTAAGATAATTTTATTTTTAAAATTTTAAATTATAAAAAAATGAATTATTTTTATAAATATAAGATTTGAATTTAAGATATTTAGGTTTGAAGACCAAACATAACCTCAATTAATCCAATAAATATTAATGATTTTTGAACACTATTAAATATTGATAATTTTATAGAGATAGAAAATATCTCGACTCCATTCATATTTTAAAATTTGATAAGGTTTTTTTTTTCCTGTAATATCATGAGTACATCGTCATGCATCATATGCTAATGATTTTTTTATTATTATTGGATTTCACATATTATTTTCACCAATGATGGATTCAGAAATTTTAAATAGTATTCATATACAAATTTATAATAATAAAAATATAGTTTCACATTTTTTAGAAAACAAATATACATTTTAATTTTTGTCTACAAGATTTCATATTCTAAAAATACTAAATAATTTCCTCATTTTCAACATCTTTAAAATTATTTTTCTTTATATAAGTAATAAAACAATCATTTAACCATTAATTTTTCATATTAAAACTTTGTTGTTTTAATAAAAGTATAACATGATACATGTGTGCACATGTGATTTTGCTAATTTATAACTACTTTTTTTTTTTAAAAAAGGAGTAAGTTAACTTTTTTTAAAAATATTATAATTATAACTTATTAATAAACTCCTTTTTAAAAAGATGTATATTATTAAATCTCATATATATTTGATAGTTTACATCCATTTATTTTTAAGAAAAATTAAGTTAGCAAATTACAGTCAAATATATTTTTTTAAAAAAATATACTTCAAAAATAATATATTAATTTTATTTTTTTTACAACATAAAACATAAAAAATAATGAAATACTTAATTTTTAATGTAATAAAAAATATAGTTTATTATATATAATACTTGACATAAAATGTCCCCATACTTATACACAGGCGTCCTGATGTTTTCTAATTACATGATACAATTTATTATATAATTTGAATGTATTTTGATACATTTTATACACAAATAATTGATTTTTAAAATTACATGCATTAAACACAATTAAATTTTTTAACTTTTAATTTATGTTTAATTTTATAATAATTCTTTTTCAAATTTTGAGACACCGTCTCATTCATTGCATTTTTATTTATTGAAAATAATGCATTTGTTAGATATAGAGAGCAAGTGCATTATTTGAAAAATAGTTTTCTAAATAAATCTAAAGATAAAACAAAAGATTAAATATTTTTTAAAATAAATTGAGTATTAACGGTAATGTTGACACAGTAATTAAAATTACCAGGGGTCATTCGTGTCTGTGAAAATTGAAATATAGGTTCCTTCAGTAAGTTCTACTACACACTGTGATTCACTCTATCCCATAGACTGAAACGGACTGAACTTTTTCTTTTCGTCTTCGAGAAAGTGAAAACTCTAAATTTTCCCGAGAAAACCCTAACAATTCCAATGTGCTATCGTAATTGCCTTCTGCACTTCAATGGGATGTTTCTGCAGTGTGATTCCGCGATCTAATTGGCGATAACTATCCAATCTTCGGCAATTAGTTTTTCTTGGTACTGATTTCTTGTCTGCATTTTCTTCACTTTGATTCAGTTCTTCTTCTCTTTTTTTTTTTTCTGTAGTTGTTGAAGCTTTTCAATTTGAATTCTAGAGTTTGAAGTTAAATTGATATTTTCTTCTTATTTTGTTGTGGTAAAGAAAGTGGACACTATTTACTTTAGCAATCACATTTTTGTGTTTTCATTGTGTTCCTTTGCTATAGAGTAATAGAACTTGTGTTCTTGCTAGTGTGTCAAAGTGATATTTGCTGAGCTGGCATCTTTGCTTAATGTCATTGTGATGTGTAAAGAGTGTGTTACGAGTGGAATTGGTGGGTATTGTTTTTTGATTAGTATGGTGAAAGTGGATGGAATAACAACTTGGACAGGTAGGAAGTTGTGGTTTTTAGTTTGAATTTTCTTTGAAAATAACCGGAAAATTATGCAAACAGTGTTTGATTTCAGAGAACACAGTGAGGAATCAGGAATGTTTATGTCGCTTTAAGGAGGACGTACTTGAGGTAACTTCATTTTGGATATTCAACATATGGTGTTTAGTGTTAATTTTCAAATTGGTTTCCTGTTAATCCTGTTTTTTTTGGGATTTGGTTGTTTATAAAATGTGGTCTGCTTAATTCATTTTGCATCCATGGTGTTTTCAAATTCCCATCTAATGCAACCAATTCTGTTTTGAAATGGAAAAATACCTACTCTGTTCTTCAATTCCCTTTTTACTCATTGTGGATTCTTGCTGGTCTCCAACAAATCAATGATTTTACTGGACAGCTTTTGTAGCTACTTTAGTAATGTTGGAAATTGATGCCGAAGTTTGTGGCTGAAAAAGTTGTTCTTGTTTTGCTTGTCAGAGCATTTTGGAGAAACTCGTCATCACCAGGAAAGCTTTCACTGTTGATGATTGATTTGTAGTGCTCAGTTTGCTTGCACATTCAGAACTGTAGAAGGTTAGGAATGGGGAAAAAACTCATGATTATGAATGCTTTTTTTTGCGTATCAAAGATGGAACACACCCATGAAACAATCTAGTGAAAAACTTTTAGGAGTTGTTTGTTACACAGAATATTTTCACCTTTCAGGGAATTTGAGTTTGCGAATATTAGTTTTCTATTTTTGATATTTTATTTAAAAAGTAACATTCCTAGGAAATATGTTTCCTAGGTGTGATTTTTATTCATCTTTCCTACAAAATTGTTCCCATGGAAGAGGTAGGAATGATTTTTATTCATCTTTCCTACAAAATTGTTCCCATGGAAGAGGTGGGAATTGAACATTCCCTAATTGAAAGGAAATTTTTCTATGGTAAGAATATTACGTTATCTTTAATTTTTTTTATTTAATGCAGTAAAAAATTTTAATTATCATGTGATATTTATAAATATTCCTAAAATATTTATGGTCAACCAAACAAAATTTAACCATTATCAAGAATCATGATATCCATAAATCATAATTCTTAGGCTTGGAAAAAGTTTCCTTCTATCAAGCGCACCCTTTCTGCTTGAACTAAATGTGCCTAAGGTTGCATTATGCATAACCTGGATCTTTCCACATAAAGTGAGATTTGCTTTCAAGAAGACTTCCTTGAGGTTGAATGGATGTTTGGCCAAAATTTAATCCGACACCTGCTTTTGCATGTTTTACAAATTTCTCCTCACTATTTTTAAGTTATTTTTTGTACTTTATTTTATACTATCCAAGCAAAACTCATTTCAATTTTAATTTTTTAATACATTCTACTTATAAGTAATTGTTCTGTAATAAGCACCTTAAAACTTATGAGCTTAAATTGTGATGATCATTGAATATTGATATTACATTATGGATCTACTGTTTGTTTCTTTACTAGATCCTTCCCTTTTTCTTCTGTAAAACTTTTATTAATTTCATGGTTTGAACTATCCTTAAGTAAATGAGGATAATACTATTAATTTAAATATGTATGGTGTTATAAAAAATAAAAATGTATGATGATGCATACATGGATTATTATATTGAACAGTGTATTCAATTCTGTATTTTCTGTAGAAATGGAGCACTATGATCTGCAAAGACAAAGAAGGGATATGAAAAACAAGGGAAGGAATGTTGTGTGGTCAACTGCGATGGACAAGTGTCTGATTGAAGCCCTGGCGGCTCAGGCAAAAAATGGAAACAAAATTGACAAATGTTTCAATGAGAATGCCTACACAGCTGCCTGTGTAGCGGTAAACACGTGCTTCAACTTGAATTTGAATAATCAGAAAGTTATCAACCGCTTGAAAACCATTAAGAAAAGGTATAAAGTAATGAAAGACATGCTGAGTCAGGATGGTTTCTGGTGGGACCCAAATACAAACATGATTGAGTGTGACAGTGACGAGCTCTGGAAGAACTACATTGCTGTGAGTAATTTTTCATTTTTCTCCATTCTTGAATGCGTATAACTTACGTAAATTACTTATTCTGGTGTTCTTTGATTCAATGAATAGGCACATCCCGATGCAAGAGGATTCCGTGGAAAACAGATAGAGATGTTTGATGAACTTAAAATTGTTTGTGGAAATTATCAAGCCCCTAGTCCTTGGACTAAGATGAAGAGTGAAAGCCATCTAATGGACATGAAGAATTGTGACGATCTAATGGACATGAAGAATTGTGAGGACGAATCGGCCTCCTTTGTTTCTCCCGGTTCAGAAGACATGAGTGAGACAGACGGAACTGAATCATACACTGGAAATCCAGAATTTGGTCAGATGCCAGATGGTTTTCAAGAGCCTCCTCTTGTCCAGCCTGTAAGACATCTTCCAAAACGGCCTCGTGCCTCAGATTCTCTTCAGGATGCATTGATGACAGTGGCATCAAGCATCCGACGTTTGGCTGATGCTATGGAGCAAAGCAAATGCTCATTTGATGCAAGTGAGCTATTGCAGGCTGTGATGGAGATAGATGGTTTGGAAGAGGGTAAACAGATGTATGCATTTGAATATTTAAATGCTGATCCTGTCAAAGCCAGAGCCTTCCTGACATACAATGCTAGGATGAGAAAGACTTACCTGTTTAGACAGTTTTGGTGGTGGAGGTGAGGGTGATCATCAGTGCCTCGAAAGTTTTTGGTGTATAGATTATCTGGGGAATGGGGACTGTGTTTGACATGTTTTCTGTTGTTTCGGCAATTTTGTGTTGATGTGTTAGGATAATTGAATGTATAGACTCTAAACAGTGATAGGAGATAACCATATGCCATAGACATTAGAAACATTGTCTCTTCCAAGTAGCCAAGGTCATTTAAAAGCAGGCAAAAAAGATGAGCTGGGCGCACGGACGCACATGTAATAGGCAATGGAAAAATATAGTGGCATGGCTACTATTAAAATGAAGAAAAAAATAGTTGGCTATGATCACATAAAAAGGATACGATCGATTGATTCACCAGTAATCCCCACTAGAACAGCTTCCTTTCTTAAAATGGAGCCTACGTAAATCACGCGCTATATAATTAATGAAATGTACTTGGTGACATCATGACAATTACCACAAACTCTTCCTAATTTGTATTGTTCAAGTATCTGGCCAACACGACCAAGGAGATCAACCATGGAACTAAAGCGATCCATAGTAGGCTCCAAATCATAATCTTTCTTCATGATTTTGAAGATGAGGCCTTCTTCCACAAAATCAGAGTAACTACAAGCTGAGATAACAGACAAAAATGTTATATCATTTGGCTTAACAGCTCCTTCTGCAAATCATTGTAGAGATCCAGAGCTTCTTTTCCAAGGCCAAGTGGTCCATATTCATCTATCATTGCATTCCATGTTATCGCATGTCGCTATTGCATCATATCAAAAAGCTTTCGTAGTTTTTATGGCTCCACATTTTGCATTCATGTCAACAAGAGCAGTGGAAACAAGGACATTCTTGTCCATATAAGTTCTTATTACAAGTCCATGAATCCATTTCACCTGGCAGCTGACTGAGAAATCCGCAAGAGCAGTGATTACACCCACCAACGTAAAACAATCAAGTTTAATGCCTTGTTCCATCATACATAATATTTAAAGCCTCCTTTAAGCACCCATTTAAGCTTTCCTTGTGACATTTGTTTTCTCCTTCAAATTATCAAATATTGAGGCTGCTACATCAACTTTCTTGAGTTTAGAATATATGAATATTAAAGCAATTCTAATGGGAGTTGCTTGTCCCGTTTCTTGTTTAAAGGCGTAGTTTCTTCCCATTAGAACACTTCTACGTGACAATATGAGTTGCTTGAAGAAGAGAGTTGCTTTTGCAAGCAACCGTTGCTTATCAAATTTTGGTGGGGAAAGAGATCAACGGAGCGAGGATTGACGGCGAGGGTTTGACGGCAGAGGCACGGAATTTGACAGCAAGGGTAGAGTCGTGGGATTTGACGGCAAGGGCTGAGCGAGGATTGATGACATGGCACATTGGGACCACTTTTTACACTTTTCAATGCATGAAGCAACTCAAATAAGTTGCTTCCATTGGAAATGCCCTTAAAAAGTTCATAACTAACACATTGTAATCAAGTTTCTGCTGATCCAACAATTTATGAACAAACCCCCCTCCTTCAAGATCACCCAAATTAGAGGAAGCAAGAAAAGCTCCTGTCGTCATGGTAACCTTCGTAGGTTCCTCCCCTTCATCCAACATCTTCAGAAAAGTTGCAAAGGCTTCTTCTGATTCATCACCAACTCGCCACTGTATGCTCTTTATCTAGATGAAGGACCCTTTATTGCTTTATAGCCAACACGTCTCTTTGCTGATGGTCAAATTTTAGGATTAATGTGTTATTGAAACAGAGAAGCCAGTTTACCTATAAACCTTTCCCCTTCCCTTCCTTTCCACACAAATCCCTACTCTCAGACGTAATCACTATCAAAGCATACATTTCGAAGAAAAAAAAAATATACAACTCAATAATATAGTGGATTTCAAAAATTATACAGCTCAAGAAAAGAGTAGCATGGCCACGGCTAAAACGTGGCATTAGAATGACCGGTGATGTGGTTAAAGATTGATCCAAATTACAGATACTTGTAGAAGGAATCGTGATTGGATGATGATAACAAGGGTATCTAATGATTCACCAGTAATCCCCACAAGAACAGCTTCCATTCTTAAAATGATGGAACCTACGTAAATCGCGCACAATAATTTCCCTTCCGGTCACTAGTGAAATGTACTTAGTGGCTTCATGGCAATCACCACAAACTCTTAGATTCTTCCTAATGTGGATCGTTGTGCCACGGCTCGTATTCAAAAGTCCAAATGCAATAGCAAGCCTCTCACTATGGCTACTGAGCAATTGTTCCTTCACATCTTCTTCCACATCATGAATTGAATTGGTGTCAGGCATATACCCAGCAGCCTTGATCTTATCTCCAAGAGTCTCAAGATAAGCATAGATTCTTTTGGATTGAGGATGATCAGTACTTCCCGAGTAGAATGTATGAACTTCATTTCTCAACTCCACCAAACTACAGCCTGGAGTTTTCTGAATCCCTTTCTTCTCCATTGCAGTCCTCACCCTAGCAACTTTGTCCCACATTGAAGCAGAGGCATATATGTTGGCAAGCAATACATGATATCCACCATCATCTGGGTCTAACTCAAATAGTTTGTCTGCAGCCTTCTCACCCAATTCAACATTTTTATGGATTTTGCAAGCACCTAGCATTGCACCTAAAACAGTAATTCCTGGTTTGACAGGCATCTCCTGGATGAATTTCCAAGCATCATGTAGCCTGCCGGCACGACCAAGGAGATCAACCATGGCACCATAGTGATCCATTGCAGGCTCCAAGCCATAGATTTCCTTCATGCTTTCGAAGTAATAGAGGCCCTCTTCCACTAAACCCGAGTGACTACAAGCTGAGATAACAGAGAGAAATGTGATCTCATTTGGCTTAACAGATCCCTTCTGCATTTCATTAAAGAGATCCAGAGCTTCTTTTCCATGGCCATGTGTTCCATATCCATCTATCATTGCATTCCATGTTATCACATGTCGCTCTTGCATCATGTCAAAAAGCTTTCTTGCAGTTCGAATGGCTCCACATTTCGCATACGTGTCAACGAGTGCTGTACAAACAAAGACATTCTTGTCCATCAAAGTTCTTATAGCAATTCCATGAATCCACTTAGCCTGGCGGGTAACCGATAAATCAGCAAGAGCAGTAATTACACTCACTAAAGTAAAGGAATCAGGTTTGATGTCATGAGATTGCATCATACAGAATAGATTTAAAGCTTCATTTACCCGCCCATTCTGTGCATATCCTAATATCATAGCATTCCACGTTACAATTGTTTTCTGTTTCAAATTATCAAATACCGAGGCTGCAATATCAACTCTCTTACACTTTGAATACATGGATATTAAAGAGTTCATAACAGACACATCCAAAGCAAGTTTCTTCTGATCCAATAACTTATGAACAAATCTCCCTCGTTCAAGATCGCCTAAATTAGCACAAGCATGTAAAGCCCCCATCATACTAACATTCGTCGGTTCCACCCCTTCATCCAACATCTTCAAAAACGTTGCAAACGCTTCCTCAGATTCACCATTTTGCGCATATCCATCAATCATCGTATTCCAAGAAACAACATTCCTGCTACTCATCCCCTTAAACACCAACCTCGCATTCCTCACAGACCCACATTTGAAGTACATATCCAGCATTGCCGTGGAAACATTGACCAGAGATTCAAACCCTGATCTGAAGGCATAACCATGAATAGACCTTCCTACTCTCAACGCCTTGACATCCGCCACAGCCGGCAAAACGCTGACCAACGTGATGGAATCCGGCTTTTGTCCGGCCTCCTGCATATGCAAAACCAACTGAACAGCCCTCCTGGCAAAGCCATTCTGCGCATACCCGGCCACCAGCGTGTTCCAACAAACCAAGTCCCTATGCGGCATTCTCTCGAACATCTTGTACGCGTCCTCAATCTGCCTACACTTGGCATACAGATTCACAACAGCAGTCATGGCAAACAAATTGGACTGAAACCCATTAGTTATCACCATCCCATGAATCTCCCTCCCCCTCCTGAGGTCCAAATTCTCGCCACAAAGCTGCAACAAGTAGGTGAAGTCATACACCACAGGCCCAACCTCATCGCGCCTCATCCGAGCGTAAAACTTGAAGGCGTCGCGTAAAGATGAGTTTTTTGCGTACCCTTTGAGCATGGTGTGGTAAAGCACATGGAGCTTGGGGTGGACGGGGTCGAAGACGCGTGCTGCCTCGGTGACGCTGTTGAAGTTGCAGAAGAGGCTGATGAGCTTGGTCTGGAAGTAGTGCTCGGTGTAGAAACCGTTTTTGATGACGAGGGGGAGGATTTGGTGAAGCTCTTTGATGGAAGTGCAGAGTTCTAAGAGTATGGCTGAAGGGTGCGTGTAGACATGGGGAGGGATGAAGATTCTTTGGTAGAGAGGGGGTGGTGGTGGTCTTGGCTTGTTTTTGGAGCTACTTTTGGAAATGGGTGAGGGTGAGGGTGCGGGGCGTAGAGTTAAAAGCTGGCAGCTCATTCTTCTTCCTTCTCAATCACCTTCGACGCAATCCGAGTTCCTTGGATTCATAACTCACATACTCCTTTATTTATAGTCGTTATGTCAAAATTTATCATTTTTTATTATTATTTTACTAAAATTAATAATTTATTAATTTTTTTTCTCATTTTTATTCTTAATAATTAATGTATGTTTACTGAACAATGTGTTTATTTATTTCTAATATTTACTTATTTTTTTCAATCACTTATGTGAATTATTGTTGTATTTAAAAAGACAATATATTTTCAATAAAATACTATAAAAAAATAGAGGGTAGAATAAGAAAATAAGTAATAAATATTTTTAAAAACTAAAATATAAATCATTTTCTTAAATTTCGTGCAAAATCTTAAACGAATATGAATAAAAATCAAGAATGTTAGTTGTTTGAGTATCTTAGTGAGTCTCTCATATTAGGATAGAATCTATTAAAATTTTAAAATTTTAACCAAATGTATTACAAGAGGCTATTATACACTACAACACAAATAGGTTTTAGTAACATTTGTAAAATGTTACTTAATTATGTGTATTGCTAAAGATTTTTAATAACATTTTTATATAATTAAGCAATATTTTTCAAATGTTAGCAAAGTAATATTTTTGTAACATTTTAATGATGTTGTCAATATTTTATTAATTTTATAAAATGATAATTAATTTTAATTTAGATATATTACTATCAATTATTATATTTTTATGCCTCTTAAATTTCTAAGAGTTCTTTGAGAGAAGATTAAAGACATTCTTAATCAATTACCACTTATTATATATAAAATATCAAATTTCATTTATCTTAAGTATAATTATATGGTTATATATACTCTTTATGAGTCATTAATCTATTCGATGTGTGACTTTAATTATGGGTAATAATTAGAGATAAGAGAAATTTACTTTTTTTTTACTCAACATGAGACTTTGATTTTAGAAACAATTATAGTAACATTTTTAAAAATAATGTTGCAAAATAACCTACGAGAAATTTTTTTACTCGATATAGGACTTTAATTTTGAAAGCAATTAGAAAGAATAATATTGAAATATAAAAAAATTACTCTATCTATAATGACATTTTTTTTAAATGTTACAAAATAACTTATTTGTTTAATATATAGTAACATTTTAACAAATATAAACAAAAAAATGTTGCTAAAGAATTAAAATCTAGTAGTCATAGAAAGAAAGTAAAAACTAGCATTTCTCGGCTTTTTGGCAAGGATAAATAAATAAAAAACAACTATTTTTAAAGATAAATTATTTTTAAATTATTTTGGGCACCGTCGCAAGACTAAGAGAGGTATTCAAATGTTTTTATTAGGTGTTGTTGAATGTATTGACGTTTTTAAGTGTGGTAACAGATATTAACATTTTTAAGTGTCGTCATGACATTCTTGCAGGCTAGACAAAGTTGTATCAATTGCTTTTTGACCAAAGTAACAAATAGAAAATGTCACTCACATTGACGCCGTGACACATGACCAAATTGTCTTCTCCAAGCAAGTATGCATTTGAATAAGAGTGGGTGATTTTTGAATGTTGAAAAGGAGGCTCACTTATAAATAATTAGAGTGAAGGGAGAGTGAGTAATTTTTCCAAAAGAGTGAAAGAGTTAATGAGAGATCTCGAAAGAGTGAATGGAGTTTTAGGGAAGAGTATGCATTTGGTATTTTTGTTTTACTAGTTGGATTTTTATGCATTTGGTATTTTTGTTTTACTAGTTGGATTTTTCTATTTTGTTGAAGAGTTACGGTTCTGATTGGTAAGTGATTTTTTTATTTTCTATATATTGTTATTATATTAATTTTTTTTATATATAATTGTAGCCTTTAATTTTTCAAGTATATTGTGTTATAACATTATTGCAATTCAAAGTATTTTTTGTTTTTGAAAAAGAAACGAGTTACTTTTGTAATTTATTTATTAAATTTGGTTATTTATCCAATTTATATATTTTTTTATTTGTTGTTAATATTATGTGTACAATCTTTTAGAAATTAGTTTTATTTGTTAATACTATGTGTAAAATCTTTTAGTATATGTACACTTCGCATTTGCTTAAAAAATAAGTAAAGTCACAATAAATTTATTTTAGTGGATATAAAGAAAAGATAAAGGGTTCATTTTAAAGTAAGAAAGAACAAATAAAAATAGAGAATACTCAAGCTTAACTAGCTTTGATCCTTGCTTCACTTTTTGATTTTTCAGAGATTGATCTCCTCTTCATATTTATATGCTAGTTTTGTAATAGAAAGAAGTGTTAAATCTTCCTTAGTGAAAGTTTATAAGAGAGGTACTTATGATTTTTGCAATCTACAAGAACACATAAAAGTGTTGTTTGATCTTAAGCAGATGGTTGTGAGATTGTTTTCTCAACGGGTGGTTGAGTGAAGAAACTTCAATAGTTGGTTGAGTGTTTTGCTACTAACAATAAGTTGTTGGATAATAGTGCTTTGTATTAGTAGGTGACTTAGTTTGAATAGTAGTTGACTGTGTTTTTAATGGAAAATCTCACAAGGTTGTGTGGGAATGAGATGTAGCCTAGTTGGAGTGTACCAATATAAATCATATGTCCATTCTCTCTTTCTTTATCTCTTTAGTTGTGTATTTAACTTATTGCATTCAATATTATATTGTTGCATAATATGAATTATAAACAAGTAAATTCAAAAACTATTTTTAGAAAATATACTCAACTCTAGCACTCAAAAGATCTACCTTTTGAGTAACAAATTTTCATAAAAGAACATATTTTTATAAAGGAATTGGTTCATTTAGTGTTACTACATTCACTGTTATACTATCGTATAATTTCTTCTACAAATAAGTAAGCTTAGAAACTATTTTTAGAAAAATACTTCAAGTTCCAACACTTAGAATATCTACCTTCTGAAGAACAAATTTTTCATAAAGAACTGATTTTTAAAGAAGACAACAATTTAACCCCCTTTCTTATAGTCTAACATTCACTTCATTATCATGTTTAAATATTATGATCATGGGTGTCTAATTAAAATGGGAGGTTGTAGTTGAGTTTCATAGAATTTCTTATAGTTGAATTTTTCTATCTTAGTCATCCTTAATTTCTTTCTATTTTGGATATAGGCTTAGAATTGTAAATCCTAAATTATTAAATTTGAGGTTTAGCAAAATAAATAGTTGTTATGAAAAGGATGTATCAATTGGATATGGGTGCTTTTGCTATGTTTTTAGAAGAAAAAAAACACTTTAAGTTCCAACACTTAGAAGATCTACCTTCTAAATAATATATTTTCATAAAAAACTAATTTTTAAAGAAGACAACAATTTAACACCCTTTCTTTTAGTCTAATATTCACTTCATTGTCATGTTTAAATATTTTAGTCATGGGTACTCTAGTTAAAATGAAAGGTTGTAGTTGAGTTTCATAGAGTTTTTTATAGTTGGGTTTTTCTATCTTAGTCATCCTTAATTTCTTCATCTATTCTGGATATTACAGGCTTAGAATTGCAAGCCCTAAATTATTGAATTTGGGGTTTAGCAAAATGAATAGTTGTTATGAAAAGGATGCACTGTAGACCCCTAAAATTGTCCGGGTCGGAAATAAAGGTTCAGCATCTTTAGTGATCACAAGAGCCTAAAGTACTTGTTTAATCAAAAGAAGTTGAACATGAGGTAGAGACGGTGGATGGAATTTCTAAAGGATTATGACTTTCAGTTGATGTATCACCTAGGGAAGGCCAATGTAGTGACGGATGCTCTTAGTAGGAAATTCATCCACATGTCTAGTTTGATGGTGAAAGAGTTGGAGATGGTTGAGAAATTCAGAGATTTGAATCTCTATGTAGAGCTGGCTCAAGACCACATTAGTTGTGGAATGACTACCATAGCTAATGAGTTCTTGAAGCAAGTTGGGTTGAAACAATTGCAAGATCTTGAGTTGGTGAAGATTTTTTTTGGTTGCTGGGTACCGAGAAGGTAGTTAGTTTTGAGTTTGGTGGAGATGAAATTTTGAGGTTTAAGGGCAGAATTTGCCTACCTCATGACACTGAGTTGAAGAAAGCTGTTTTGGAGGAAGGCCACAAGAGTAGACTTAGCATACATCCTGGTATGACTAAGATGTACCAAGACCTCAAGAAGACTATCTGGTGGTCTGGTATGAAGGGGGGACATTGTTGAATATGTAGTAGCCTATCTGACCTGTTAGAAGGCAAAGGTTGAGCACCAGAAGCCTGGTGGTTTGTTGTAGATGATGGAGATCCCATAGTGAAAGTGGGATAGTATCACTATGGACTTCATTATTGGGTTGCCTAGGTTAGTTAGGAATAATGATGTTATTTGGGTTATTGTTGACGGATTGACCAAGTGTGCACTTTTTTTTCCTATCAATATCAAGTGGTCCTTGGAGAAGTTGACGCAATTGTATGTGAAGGAAATAATACGGTTGCACAGGGTGCCTTCTAGTATTATAATTTCATATAGGGATCTGAGGTTCACTTCCAGATTTTGGTAGAGTCTACACCAAGCCTTAGGCACGAGGTTGAGATTGAGTTCTACTTATCATCCAAAAACGGATGGTCAATCAGAGAGGAAAATTTAGTCCTTGAAAGATTTGTTGAGGGCTTATGTGCTAGACTACTTGGGGAGTTGGGAGGAAGTCCTACCACTGGTAGAGTTCACGTATAACAATAACTTTCTTGCTAGTATCGGGATGACACCGTTTGAAGCCCTGTATGGTAGGAGGTGTAGGACTCCTTTGTGTTGGTACCAAGATAGTGAATCAGTGGTTTTGGGGTTGGAGTTAGTCCTACAGACTACTGAGAAAGTAAAGTTGATTTAGGAGAGTATGAAGACTACCTAGAGTAGACATAAATCATATGCTGATGAAAGGCAAAAGCCTTTGGAGTTTGCTAAGGAAGAACATGTGTTTCACGTTTCACAGTTGAGGAAGTATGTCCCTGACCCAAGTCAAGGGGAACCTGACTTATGAGAAGAGACTGGTAGCTGTGATTAATTTCAAGTTGA